ATCTGAGTCAAGCAGGCAGAGAAGGAGACAGTGTGGCTCTTGACCACCAGGTGGACCAGCATCTGTGGGATGGTGGTGGTGATGAAACAGACATCCAGGAAGGACAGATGGCCAAGGAAGAAGTACATGGGACTGTTGAGCTTGGGGTCTCTCCAAGTGATGAAGATGATGAGACCATTCATGGCCATGGCCAGGCTGTAGAGGGCTAGGAAGAGAGCAAAGAGCAATGCCCGAGTGGAAGGCGAGCTCTGTTCAAAGCCCACAAGGATGAAGTCTGTCACTGTGCTGCTATTGCTGGAGTCCATCATCTGAAAAGAAAAGACAACAAAAATACATAGGGGAGAAATCTTTTGCATAGGGACTCATTTGCATAAATACAAATTAGGAACCAATGAAGGAAAACAGAAATTTCAGTAAACTCAATGTGAGATTGCAATGTTACAGACACCAAAAATTCCAGCAGTGTTGCAACAGAAGAACCAGATCATAAACCAAAGGAAGTTTTTTGTATTTTGGATCAACATCATTTTCAGTTCTAGGCCCTCTATTTTAAGTGCTTATCACCTTATGGGCTATGGCTATGTTTAGAGGCAAATAGGATTGGAAAAGTCTAGGAACCATAGGCCAAGCACTGGAAAAAATATAAAGGGACAACATACAGAGAATCTGAGCATTTTGATTAAATGTTAAGAGACGTCCACCTGGATGAGAGAATTTACTTTGTCTGTAACCTCAATAAGCAGAACACAAACCAGGGAATGGAAACAATAGAGTGGGGAAAAATGACTGATTTTCTAGTGCATAGTTGTCTTTGTTTAATGTAATGCCACCTCATTAAAGAATATTTAAAAATGCAAAAAGAAATTAAAAATAACATAATCACCCCAGAGAAGCCAGTTTAACATTTTCATTAACTTTTCCCAGTCTTTGTTGTTGTTGTTTTCTTTTTTTGCATTTCCGTTAAAAAACCCTTTAATTAACACAAAATTTGAGTGAAATCTCTTACAAAAACTTAAATGAGGACAAATGCAGTTTTAAAAAGGAATAAAGCAATTTTAGTTAATTACAAATTAAAGAATTTGTTAGAGGAGAAAATAAAAAGATAAAAACTCATTTTTCATTTCTATGGGGCATTGGGGGGAAAAATCACACTTCATATTCAAAAAAGTGTTTGTTCTCTTAGTAAATAAGAGCTTACTATGCACTAAGCAGTGTTTGCTTGCTCTGCTCTGACAACTGCTTCCTGGTCCAAGTATAGGTTTCACATAATCACAATCAAGTGTTCTGGGATTCTAATTCTTCTCAGTCAACCGCAGTTTCTTATGATCCACACAGTCAAATGCCTTTGCATAGTCAATGAAACAGACAGATGTTCCTGTGGTACTCTCTGCTTTCAGCCAAGATCCATCTGACATTAGCTATAATATCGCTAGTACCACGGCTTCTTTTAAACCCAGCCTGCACTTCAGGCGGTTCTCTGTTGATGTGCTGTTCCAGTCATTTTTGGATAATCTTCAGCAGAATCTTGCTTGCATGTGATATCAAAGATATTGTTTGATAATTTCCACACTCTGTCAGGTCACCTTTCTTTGGAATGGGAACAAATATACATCTCTTCCAGTCAGTTGGCCAGGTGGTTGTCCTCCAGATTTCTTCGCACAACTTGATAAGCACATTCAGGGCAGTGTCTGTTGAAATATGTCAATTGGTATGCCATCAATTAATGGGGCCTTGTTTGCCAATTCTTTCAGAGCAGTTTGAACATCTTTGTTCATCACCGCAGGCTCTTGATCATCTTGTTTCATTGAAGTCTTCTGTGCCCACCAATTCCTTTCAGTATAATGACTGTATTCTTTCCATCTTCTTTTAATGCTTCCTGGAGCATTTAATATTCTGTCCAAAACATCCTTAAGTATTGCAACTCAAGTCTTGAATTTGTTCTTCAGTTCTTTCAGCTTAAGAAATGTTTAGCATGTTTGGCCCCTTTGATTTTCTGACTTCAGCTCTTTGCACATTTTATTGTAATACCTTACTCTGTCTTCCTGTGCTGTCCTTTGGAATCTTCTGCTCAACTCCTTAACATCTTGATTTCTTCCCTTTGCTTTGGCTTCTCAGCACTCTAGTGCAATATTCAGAGTTCTTCTGACATCTGTCTTGGTCTTTTCTTCCGCTTCTGTCTTTGCAATGACTTTTTGCATTCTTCATGGATGATATTATTGATAACTTCCCAGAGTTTATGATGTATCCTATCTCCATACCTTTTTAATCTATATGCAGAACAGATTATCCAGGAAGCTGGGCTCTATGAGGAGAAATGTGGCATCAGAATTGGAGGAAGACTCATCAACAATCTGTGTTATGCTGATGACACAACCCTGTTTGCTGAGACTGAGGAGGACCAGAAGTATTTGCTGCAGAAGGTCAAGGACTGCAGGCTTCAATATGGATTGAAGCTCAATATCAAAAAACAAAGATTCTCAGCACTG